CTGTTCTTCTAGATACAGCATTGCCTCTCCAGCCTTCCAAAGGCATTCTTCAGCTTCAGAGAGTCACAAGGCTGGTATCAAAAGAACAAGAGCAAAACAATTATCTCATTAAGCTTCCAAATGGCAGGGTTAAGGCCAGCAACTCCAGCAGTAAGAACTGAAAGAGAAGGAAGAGATGGACAGGGGAAGCCGTTCACCACAGGCTGGGGATAAATTATTTCGAAGTTAAAGTAAGGTGCAGTCTCTTTTTCTGGTGAGGTTACTGGTTTCATAGGACTTTTCTGTGCAAGTCTTCATGGTGTCCAGACTGTACATCCTTCTCTATGACCAGAATGTCCAGAGCAGTACTCCAGAGAATCTGTTTATTTATAATAGGCCAATTTTAGAAAATGTTTTTAAAAAGCAATCATGATATTCAAGTTAGTAATATGCCACGCAAACAAAGAACTTGGGTATCTGATTATAAAAAGTATAACAGAACATATTCACAAATCTTTGTACTCCAAGTGAACTGGGAACCAAAGACACAGTGAACGGCCTTTACAGATGGGAAAGAAATGAAAATAGTTTCTCTCAGAGGTATACAGTTAGTCAGATGCCTCCCTACTAATTCTGGAGTAGTGATTTTATTTAAGCAGCATTCTCAAGTTTTGCTTTACTTAATGTCTTTAAGAGTTAAGTGTTCAAGCATTCCTACTCAAGTATCAAAACCCAGACAAGTTATAGCCATCATTTACAGTGTAGCAGTCATGACCTTGTTTCACTCTTTAATGAATAAGAAAAAAAAAAAAAAAAGTTTTTTACTCCAAACTTTCTACTGCTCCATTCTAAGTGTGTATTCTTGAGGAACAAGATATATGCTGTTTGGATACTAAGACTGGAAATCCTAGCTCTGTCGCAAGGCCAATGTCCACCTGAGCCTCACTGTGAGCTAGGTGTATGTATTTATTAAATGTTAGCAGAGGATAACTGAACTCTGACACATCACTGTTAGCACATTATAAGAAGGTTTAATTGTTGAAAAGTTTTTAAGATCTCTTGGATTATGGATTGGGTTCAGTTGTGTGGACTAAAATGACATTTATCACAGAATCTTTAAGGTTGAAAAAGAGTTCCAAGATCATGAAGTCCAGCTGTCAACTCATCACCACCTTTCCCACTAAACCACTAAACCATATCTCCCAGATCCACATCTACCTTGTTCTTCAACACCTCCAGAGATGGCGACTCCACCACCTCCTGGGCAGCCTGTTCCAATGCCTCACCACTCCTCAGGAGAATAAATTGTTCCTAATATCCCCACCCGAACCTCCCCCAATGCATTTCCACTCATCCTATCACTGTTAAGAGAGAGCAATAAGGTCTCTTTTAGCTTCCTCTTCTCCAGACTAAACAATCCTAGTTCTCTCAGCCACTCCTCACCAGGCCTGTGCTCAGACCCCTCACAGCTTTGTTGCCCTCCCTTGAGTATGCCCCAGTGCCTCAGTGTCTTTTTTGTACTGAGGTCCCCAAAACTGATCACATTTTGTCCTGCACCATCTTGTACACTGTGTTCTCTCACAGTACTACTGAAAGATAGAGATTCTTTTACAAATGATAAAATCTCACTACCAAGATATCTTCTGCTGTTGAAGTATACGTTTGCCTTGCTTTTCCTCCTTGATGAGTATTTCAGACTGTCATGTGTATCTTCTGAAGTAACAAAACTTGGGGGTTTCTTTCTTTGAATAGTTACCACACACATCATTTTTCTCTCTTCCCTACAATATAGTAGCACTTCATGTGCTATCTTTCACAGCTATCTTCCTGTCAAGCCCTTCCTTAAGAATCAATCAGAATCTACTCTTCACCCGTCTGTGGGTTTTCAGTACCTCGTGCCACTCTCTTACCTTTTTTTGAAAGCTATGTTATCAAAATACTTCTTTTTTTTTTTTTTTCTATCCAGAACAATTGTGATTCTGTTAGAGTATCTTCCCCAGCTACATCTTAGGACTTCCTTCAAGCCTTCTGAAAATAGCCCGTAAGAGTAACATTTTTCTGTGTTACTGAGATGTGAGGGAGTCTGCACATATTTCACCAAACAGTCTGCCCTGAGAAAAGTGCTGCTTTTATATTTTGATATGTCTCCCTGGTACTCTCTGTAACCTAGTTTTGACATTTGTACAATAATGATTAACAGTTTCTTCTGGCAGTACATAATTATCATGTATTCTCAATGGTTTTATTGTTATTGCAGCTGTCTGTCAAGAGCACCTTGTTTTTCTGTTTACAGAAGTCAGCTGACTTAAATGGCTGCTTTCTTTTGTAGAAATCATATACAGTAGTTTTGGGTAATTACTCTTCTCTCCCAGTGGATATCACATGCATCTCACTTAAATGCTTCCACTGATTGATAAGGTTATGCTTATCTGCAGAAGCATTTAAACGTATCAAAATTATGCTCATGAAGCAACCAAGAAGGTTGTGGAAGAGTACATGTAGGATGAACCCTGCAGTTCCCTCTTAAGCAAGGCTGCAGTCAGGTGCTGTTTTGCACTCTATTGAAGCAAGTGGCTTCTTGCACACCTTACAATTAGACAAGTGTTGGTACACAGAGGAAGTGGCCCACAGCTGGGCACAGATTTTATCAGCCTGTCTGATAAGTTGTCTGCAGCTGAACAGCTTTGTGATAATGGTAAGGGCTGTGTTTGGCTAACAACCACTGCAAGTTTATTACTTGCATGCTATGGCTGCTTGTGTTGAGAAAGGATCTTGTCGTCAAGTTTATGTCTTAGTCAAGTCAGGATTGAATTACAGTGAGATGATAAAGCAGTGAGTGTGAAGGGAGTCTCCTTCTTCCTCCTCTCCTGAAATAAAGCAGGAGGCTGATAGAAAATACAGCAGCACAGTGTCTGTGTAGGGCACATATTTGGCTATGAGAGATCCCAGTACATTCACTGGCTGCCTCATGGATCCAGATCATGTGTGCATCTTGGGCTCCAGTGATGCAGAAACCACATCTGTACTTCGTTATGCTACACCACCACCAGAGATGGATCTTCTCTTCTTGGTTGGGAGGAGGTGCAGGCAGGATGTTCTTCACCTGGTTCAGGCACTCACATTCTCTGGAATATGGAAGAGCTCCATCACGTTGCCCTTTAGGCCATAATACAAAACAGCTATTTAGAGAAGTAGTGATTCAGGAGAGAAGTGAAGCTTTTTTTCACCCTTAAGATCAGAATTTCACAGAGAAAACCAAACTTGTTTTGTCTTTGCTAGGTGTTTTTGTTTTGAAGTGTCACTTTATCACTGACAGCTTCAGTGTGGTTATGCTACATCAGATTAAAATCCAATAAGGCCAATTTCTTATCTTGGAGAAGGATAGGTCTGTTATTAAACAGTGCAGAAGGAAGACTGTTTATATCTGACCTTGCTTACATTTCTTACGGAATCTTTTTTAAGCTGCTGAACATACAAACTTTGATATTAAAATACAGCATTTCCTTATCTTAAAAGGAAAATTATGTTCTTTAATTAGCTTCTGAAGTGCTTGAGCATCCTGGGGATCAGATTCTACTGACACTTAAAATGTTATAAATAAAAATCTGTTTTCATTTTGTTTTCACCCTCGCTGTAATTAGACAGAGAGATTTCCCCTTCTGTGCATGCACACTGGCATCTGTTCTGGAGCACTGAGCTTCTGGGATTGGGTGTATTTTCTTAGTGCTGAATGATGACACAGAAGAACAAGCCAGTCAAACTCTTGGATTTCCCATAGGTGCTCTCTCCAGATGCACAGAGATGACTTGCATCCTTCTCAAGGCTGTACATGAGGAAAGGCTTCTCAGATAAGCAGCGCTTACTGGAGGCCAAATTCCACCCTGCAGAAATGCTTCAAAATGCAGGACAGCACACAGTGCGTTTCCTCCCTGCAACCTACTCACACTGCTCACAGACATGCCATGAGCCACAGCAGCTGCCTTCCTGCTGGTAAGCTTGGTCCTCCAAGCAGAGGCATCAAACACACCGGTGAAGAGCTCACCCCCCTTATACCTCTGAAGTGCACTCATTTAGTATGAGGCTAAATTCTCATTCTCAAGCCAAGATGCTTACAGACACAGGAAGCACCGTTTTAGAAGAACGCTAAACTTGGTATTACCCAAAGGCTTCTGTTTTGTCTTCAGTATTTCCAATGTGCCTTAGTTTAGCATTGGTTTAAAAGCTTTGAGCTTCAGCCTGAAAGTTTTTAATCTCGGAGGGTACTTCCTGCATCACAATCTCAAGCAAAACTTAGAATGGTTTTGTAGCAGGTGAGAGGTGTGTGCAAGCAGAATCAGGAGTATTTAGGTCTAAGACAGAGCTTCCAGTTACTGTGAATCTTCAGTACAACCCATGTGTATTGGAACTCACCAGCTGCATGGTGAACTTATTGGGCACAGCATCATAGAATTACAGAATCCAAGGGGTTGGATGGGACCTTGAGACCACTGAGGCCAACCCTCTGCTAAAGTAGTTCCCTACAACAGGTCGCACAGGTAGGTGTCCAGCTGGATCCTCAGTGTCTCCATAGGAGACTCCACCACCTCTGCGGGCAGCCTGTTCCAGCGCTCTGTCACCCTGACCATAAAGTTCTTCCACACGTTTGTATGGAACTTGCTATGTTCAAGTTTTAGGCTATCGCTCCTTGTCCTATCTCTACACCCGTGCCGTGCTGCCTCTTTCAAATCAACCGAGCCGGCACCGTGAAAACTGCAAAACGGAAGAAAATACTTTAGCGAGTCGCATACCGTGGACAGCCACAGTGAAAACCTTACTGTGCAAAGAAACCCTTCGGCGCCGGGGTCGTGCCGGATGGCCCAGCCCTTAACGGCAGCGCCGCCACCGCACCCCGCAGGCTCACAGCCCGGCCGTGAGGCGGCGCCGGTCTCCGGGTCGGCATCGGGACGGCGGGGGCCGGGCCTCCAACCGGCGGCGAGGCGGCGCCTGCCGGCGCGGGGCGGGCGGCGGCGCGGATCCCCGGCAGCGCTCCCCGGCGGCTCCAGCCGCTCCGCGCTCCGCCGACAGCATGGGCGGCTCAGCCTCCGGGCCGTTGGACGACAGCAAGTGCGCCTACATCCGAGGTAGGGCGGCGGCGGCTCGGCTCGGAGGGACCCGGCTGCGTGGGGCTTTGCGGTGGGAGAAGCGCTGGGCTGGGGCTTGGGCGGGAGGTTCGGACGGTCCGGGAGTGAAAATGCCGAAGTTGTTTTAAGTGTGTGCTTGTCACGCTGTTAAAGTCTGCATTCTCCAGGGTGCGTCTTGGGGTGTATTTTTATTAATTTGAGGTAATTGCAAGAATGCGTTGTGCTCTCACCTGCCTGCACGCAGCACGGCAGGGATTTGCAAAGGGTTTCCCAGGAGTCACAGCACAAAGACTTCCAAACGTCAGATGGATGGCTTTGACCCAAAAGCAGTTGGCAGAGGTGTGTGGATTTGTCTACGAGGTCCCTTCAGCGCTGCCCCGCTGCGGGTGGCCCCGGGTCCCCTCGGAGCCACAGGGGAGCAATCTGTGAATTCCTTTATCGTTGACACATTCCCACATCACCGCCAACATCGCGCTTCCACAGCAGAGTCCTTCAGGTGCGTGTGTGAGTGAAGGCAGCCAAGAGTGCCCGAGAAGCCTGATGCTGAATTACTGCAGTAAAGAGATTCGGGAGCGTTTTAGCTGCTTCACAGCAGTGCAGGAGGACACGCGATTCAGATGTGTTTGGGCTGGGCTGGGGGCACTGTCGGAGTGAGGTGCCCACCCATGCCTAGAGCACACTGAGCACAGCTGCGCTTTGCCCAGCCTGTGTACAGGCAGATCATTGTCAAAAACCTAATGAAATCATTGTCTCAAGCTTGCTGTCTTACTGGAAGTGAGAGTGCCCCGCTCTCGACTCTTGCTTTGCAAAAGAATTAATGAGGCACTTTGTGCAGAGTCAGCCCTTAAGTTATTACCTCCAGAAGGAAAAGCAATCAGGAGGAGCATCCTATACCGAATCGCATCCTACGCCACACGGGGCAGCAGCTCTCAGGCTGGAGCGTGCAGGATGCGGTACTTGGTGCTGCCCGGTGTGTGCCTCGGGCCCCCGGCCCGCACAGGGAAGCAACTCAGCTGCTGATTCCGTAGGTGGAACAAGAAGCAAACTTTGAGCTTTTCTTCTATGTGCAGCAGGACTGCTGCCTGCTTGCTCTCGGTAATTGGATTACTTGCTGTCATAATGGTAATTTCCAACAGTGTAAAGCCCTCTAGGTTACTTAGAAAACTCTCAGTAACAAATGGAAACAAGGGGCTGAAGGCTGAAGAAGTCGGCTGATATGGTCTCTTCATCAACATGCATGCAGATTTAGAGGCTTTGTAATTTCCAGAAGTCTCTTTGCCCACTTTGGCAAAAGTGTATAATATTTTCTCTAGTTTTTGGACTGAGCCCTTAAAAAAAAAAAAAAGAAAGAAAGAAAAGACTTGTGGAGGAGATAATCCTTTGTAGGATTTTGGTTGGACCACATGGGAATTACTCAGGATGGAAAGATGCAACTGAAAGTGAGTTTAAAGAATCGACAATAATTGTTAAGAGACTGGCAGTTGGTCATGCGAAAAGGGTTTGTTAGAACAATTTGTGCTCCCAGCTTGATGAGGCATGGGCTAAACCTGTGGCGGTAGGTGTTTGTTGCATGATTTGTCCAATGGTATTCAATGGGTGTTGCACCCAACAGGGAGCAGTATGGGCAGGTAGCGGGGCGTTATGCACTCAGAGTGCAATTATGAAACTGGAGAAAAAGGTGAAAGTTCCATAAAGGAAAAGCTTAGTAGCATGCGCTCTGCTGGAGATTCCAAATGGAGCTGACAAAGTCTGCTTAGGGGTCTCTGCTTTCAGGCGGGATCAGCCCGTCTGACAGTGGGAGGGAAAATGATGAAGTATAATGGCCTTACGTTGGGCCAGAGGAGGTTCAGGTTCAATGTGAGGAAGAATTTATTCTCAGAAAGAGTGGTGGAGTCACTGTCCATGGAGGTGTTGGAGAACATGGTGAGGGATGTGGTTTAGCAGGCATGGAGGTGATGGGCTGATGATTGAACTTGATGATCTGAGTGGTCTTTTGCAACCTTCATGATTCTGAAGGAGGAATGGCCCCACAGGACACAGCAGTTTCCGTTTCTGCAGCTCCAGCAACACGGTGGTACACCAAGCTCTGTGGTCTTTTGGGAACAAATGTTTTTGAATATGGGGAAGTAGAGAGATTTTAAAAACTCACTGCCAGCAGTTTCAACAGGTATGTCTTAAAAGGGTGTAATGTGCAAAAAACTTGAAGTTCTCCAGAGGTTGTTTTTATGAAAGCAGCTCGCTATATACTTGACCATATCCAATCTGTCCATTGCTGTAAAAGTCAAGCTGTCTGGAGGACAAGGCTTTGTAGTCAAATGCTTTTAATCTGTTTGTTTGTCTAAAAGCTGTTATTCCTCCTTCCTCTCCTGCTTTTCCATCATTTCTTTTCTTGCTTAGGCAGATGGGCAGCTGTGGCCAAGGGGTGATAACTCCCACGGGTTCCTTGTTGCGCAGGGCTTTTTTTCTCGCAGACCTCCCCACCTCATCCTTCCTTTCATCTGACAATGAGAGCTGTTACTTAGCGTCTGCAAGACATTTCTTAATGGCCATTTGCTTTGCCCATGAGTTTTAGTGTGGTACTAATTAAGATGAGATTTTCTTTTGTACAAGGATAAAACACTTTTGATGTGTTCCTGCAAGATACAGCGTAGCTCTAAAAGATAGATGGACTCCTCTTGTTCTGTCAAGTCGTAGAGACTGAAGAGCAGCCTCTCATATCCTTCAGTGAAAAGAGAAGATAAGATCTGCTGCTGGCTTGACAGGAAACCACATGCACAGATACCAGCAGAAGTAAGGAGAGAGAGAACTGCAGTGCCAGATGCAGCTCTGGAAGCAAATCCTTGCCCACAGCCAGCCAGAGTGCACACAGCCATGGGCAGGGGTGTTGGAAGGTGGGAGAGTAGCTTGGATTTAATTGTGGAAAAGTTGGCCTTTTTTTTGTACAGGCGCTCAGACCGTATATTTGATTTTCTGCTTTAAGCTGTTGTGTAGGACCTTCTGGTTTTAATTTGGTGGACGGCTGCAAGTCCAATGGAGTTTTGTTAAAGTCTGGCTGTACTTACAGTCTTTTCTCTCAGCCTGTTACAAGTTATGTCTCTCTGTGTTTTGGAAATCCTCTCTCTTGTTTCCACAGGTTAGCATAGCTGCATGGAGTGGGCATAATTGCTGCTTACACAGGAAGGAAGGAAGGAAGGAAGGAAGGAAGGAAGGAAGGAAGGAAGGAAGGAAGGAAGGAGGGGAAATGGGTGGGAAATTCATACTGCACTGTGGATATTAGTTTCTCATTGTATGCATCTTGCTGAGTTTATAAGTTCTTGAAGGTCTTAAGAAATGAAGTTTTGAGGAAAAATCTGTTTGCTTTTATCTGCTTTCTGAGAAGCTTTACTCCTCTGGGAGGGTGTTGCTGTTGGAGCCAGTGGCAGATTTTAATCCCCTAGTTTTATAAACTGGAGCTTGTGTTGGAAAGTAGAGATTGCTTCTCCTTGCTTCCTGCGCTCTTTAATTCATGGGGGCAAGATGCTTGACTTTAGCTTTGACTGAATGCAAGGAAAGAGCATCAAGGGGCATTGACTGATAGGAGGTGAATTTGCCACCCAGCTTGAATAGCATTTACTGAGCTCGGTAACTTTCAGATTTCAGTGCTGAGACACCAAGGCAGGAGATAACTTTTCTGTTCAGTTTCTACTGCTTGCATAGTTCTATTAATTAATTTTCATTGCCACTGCCAGGTTTCTATAAGTTGGCACATAGAACAAAGAAGAGAATTTCCCTCATCAGAGAAGGAGCTAAAATGTTGTGCTTGAATTTGTCAGTAAAAAGATTGTGATCACTGCATTTTCACGTCTGTAAATGGTCTGAGGTTTTCACAAATGCAGAAATCTCAGTTAGCCATTTCATGGTACAGATTCTGCCTCTGCCAAAGCAAATGGGAAGCTGGGTTCGGTTCCTTCCCCATGTAGGACAAACTCTCTTCCACCAAAGCTAACCACTTAATCCAGTGCTACATCGTGGTTGGTGCAGCTGAGTGTGATAATTGGGAAAGAAGAACTTGGTGGGAAAGGTCTTTTTGTGGTACTGTGGGTGAAAATAAAGCTCAGGATGGAAAGGAAGACTTTTCTACTGCTCGTGTAGGAAGTGCTTTTCTACTGCTTGTGTAGAAGAAGCTGCGTACAGTGCTGGATTAAGCACAGGATATCAAGAAGAGCTGTATAATAGGGAAGGTAAGAAATGTGCTCACATTGGCCCCCGAATTGTAATTGGGAAGGCTACACTGTGTGTGTGGAGTTTGTTGCTCTTTTGTACTTGATGCTTTCCAAAATTGTGAAGATTTCAGGATTTTGGAAGATTTTAATTAGTACAGCATGGCAACAAATTAGAAGGCACTCTTTGCCTTTGGTGGAAACTTCATAGATATTAAAAGGAGAGCAAGAAGGCTCTCAGATAGTCCTTCAGATGATTAAAGCTTCTTTGTTGTTGATGCCTTTGGGCAGTAAAGCTTAAGAAACAGTGTCTGGACCGGGAAGGATGATATTCATAGTATCACAATCACATATTCTGTGATATTCGTGGGCAGTGTGCTCATGGCTACTTTTAAATTACTGCAGCACTTCTTTCTCCAGCTCTTGCCTTTGCATATAATAAACACACAGTCTTCTTCTCACTTTATGAACAATATAAAATGGCTTCAGGCTTTTGAACGGGCATGCAAGCATTCTAGTTGCTTCTGCACTGAAGGGACAGTGATGAAACATGAGGCTGGCCCTTAGATGAAAGCAAGATTAAAGCTTGCTGAAATGGAGCAAATGTGTATGGAGGAAGGATTAGCATGTCTGAATTTTCTAAAGCTTTACCATGTATTTTTTTTTATCACTCTGACATACTAAGAAACCTCGGTGATGATTCTATTTTGATGCTTATCTTGTTACTCATAAGCTAAGATTTTGGCGAATTCATTTCTCCAGGTATTTAATTAACATTTTAATTTTTGAAATCTGGAGCAT